AGGCATAAATCCCATTCTGGGAGTACAGAAGGTATTTTGAGCAAATGATATTTCATACAGTCTTTCCGATGCTGCATCATTCAATGGACCCTCATCAACTGCAATAATCCATTTACTCGGGATGCCCCTTAAACCCTTTTTGCGCCTCCTCATGTCATGCAAATCTATGGCATATCCTTTTCATCTTATCCCGACCAGCACACACACACGCACGCACTTCAATTATCTCATGAGAATGTGAGCGGCTATTTGCACATCAAGAGAGTGAGATCCTTAAGCCTCAGAGGGACACGTATGGAAAATAATAAAAGTAAATTGTGACCGAGTTCCCCTTATAATAAAGGGAGTGAATGGGCTGATATAATAAACTATAAATCCCTATAATAACATTTTCATAAATACTCTCCTCTCCTTGCCCATGGCGGCCGTAATTGAAAGAGGAACCAAAATATTAGAGTGAAAATAATCAGGTCATAAAATCACTTTTGGGATACGCTCGAGCTCTCGCCGTCAAATTGTCCGATGGTCTCGTAACAAATTATATGGGCGAGAGGTGGAAAAGGGGATCTATGATGGGGTCTTTCCATGTGAGATCACTTTATATCCCTCCATATGGTGTGACACGGACAGAAATCGGCCCGCAGCCAAGGTGATGCCCGGAGAAATCTCTGATGCTTGATGGAGATATAAAAATTTCCACCCATTCTGCCAATGTCGATTGCCCAGATATGGGCAAGTAAACATAATTTGGGGGGACGTCTTCTGGGAAGCCTCAACATTTTTCACGATATATCCAAAGGGTTCTTCCGCTCGGGTGCCGGAAAATCACAAGGCGCAAGTAATGCTTATTAGACATTCACCTTTTCGAATTGTTTCGCCTGGATTTGCCTCATTTCGGTACATTATGGTTAATAGATCGGATCAATGGCTCTGCCAATCACTTTGCATCCCCCGATGAAGATTATGTCCAGCCCCTGCAGGATTCCTCCAGATATTCTCAAAAATCACTGATTCTGCTGGACTCCTGCAAGAGAATCCTGCACTGTCTTTCCTGACGTCTTAAGCTACTTTCAATAGAAATTCAAGGACAAGAAGGATAAAAACGACGGATTTCCACCGTATTTTCCTGCCGGAATCCTACCGGACGCATCCACCTATCGCCCGGCTTTCTGAAATGAAGAATTTAGCCTTTAGGAACCCTGAATGAATCCTGCAAAGTGTCTGTTGCGCTCTAAGACAGCCTAATTTCGCCTATCTCCGCCGCCACCGCCTTTGCCTGCCTCCCTGTCTTCTGACAACCTCGGCACGCAAGTGTGAAATCAATACTTGTGTATTCAAGAAGCGAGCCGGCGTTGTGGAAACTACCCCCAAACTACTTACGAGACGTCAATGATGTGTAACAAATCGCTTCGATCCATAACACCACATACTCGATTGATCATTCCCAGCCACTCTCGCGAGTCTTCACCCTCACATGCACATCAATGCGATGCACGCCGAATTTCCAGGGGCGCCTCAAGAGCCCGGATTGTCTGCGGAAAGGGCGAAAGTGGGCCAAGTCTCTGGCACACTCAGTGGATTATCCCTCGCAGTCCTCGGCCTCCAAGATGGATGGCTCCGATGGTTGCGTGAACATCTTGAATTAATTTAATTTATTTATTTAAATTTGCAGCCCCCGCCATTACAGCCACCCTCGTGGGGGCGCTGAGTGTGTCTCAAGGGTGGAATGGCACACGGTGATGTTGTACATTGGCAAACATGCCCTTTGACCGTTCATGGTTGACTCTGCAATTTAGGCAAAAGGTACTGCGAATCTCGTTCATTACACTGTGCAACACTTTTCTGCCCTTTTTTTGAGGTGTGGATTTTCTGATTCCTTGAGTCATCAGCTTTTCAACGGTACCTTCCTTTTTTCCCTAGACCCTCAAGTTTTCCTTTTAGAGCCTATTTTCCATTTTCCCCTATTTTCACCCACTTTGCCGCACTTATGTGCTCATATCTCGCCCAATTTTCCACGGATTTTCCTCAAATTAGGCTCAAACGATAGCTATTGAAATTACCTACTACTTTGTAAAACATTGTGAGTGTTTTAGATCACTCCTTGTTGGTCAAAAATGATCTTTTGTGAACCACTAGGTAAAAAATTCACCGGGTTTTTTACCACTTTTTTCTAAATATCTCCAAAACGAAGAAACTTTTATGTTGGATTATTTTTCCTATGTGTAGAGCACTTCAGGGGATGCATTTCCTCCATACATGCCGAAGTGATATCTCTTCTCTATCTGCCGGAAAAACGAGGTTTTCCCTCGACAAATTTTGCTTTTTTATGCTACGCGCACCCGCTAAAAAACTGAAAGAAGGTACATTTTGCTGTCTACGCACTCATTTAGATGATGATAATGCTTAGATGTTAAAACAAAAGAGAAAAAAGGCCAATATCTCGACTTTTTAGCTATTTTAAGTGAATTTTTTGTGTTTTTTATGGAGTAGTTGTCATAAGGACCAAAAAAATACATAAAATAGCTAAAAAGTCGAGATATTGGCTTTTTTTCTCTTTTGTTTTAACATCTAAGCATTATCATTATCTAAATGAGTGCGTAAACAGCAAAATGTACCTTCTTTCAGTTTTTTAGCGGGTGCGCGTAGCATAAAAAAGCAAAATTTGTCGAGGGAAAACCTCGTTTTTCCGGCAGATAGAGAAGAGATATCACTTCGGCATGTATGGAGGAAATGCATCCCCTGAAGTGCTCTACACATAGGAAAAATAATCCAACATAAAAGTTTCTTCGTTTCGGAGATATTTAGAAAAAAGTGGTAAAAAACCCGGTGAATTTTTTACCTAGTGGTTCACAAAAGATCATTTTTGATCAACAAGGAGTGATCTAAAACACTCACAATGTTTTACAAAGTAGTAGGTAATTTCAATAGCTATCATTTGAGCCTAATTTGAGGAAAATCCGTGGAAAATTGGGCGAGATATGAGCACATAAGTGCGGCAAAGTGGGTGAAAATAGGGGAAAATGGAAAATAGGCTCTAAAAGGAAAACTTGAGGGTCTAGGGAAAAAAGGAAGGTACCGTTGAAAAGCTGATGACTCAAGGAATCAGAAAATCCACACCTCAAAAAAAGGGCAGAAAAAAGTGTCATTTTTGTTGCCTAGTGTTAGCTGAATGGCTCATTGTTCATTTATGCGGCAAAATTTCCGCACACTGATGGTCAATGGCTCAACATCAAAGAGTCGCCCTTAACGAAAATCAATCTTTGATGTGAAAAGCTCCTTCCTTCCTCCCATTAGTGGATATTGAAATATTCACTCGCCGCTTTGTCTTCCGCTCACGAGTCCAAAGGATGAAAGATGAATGAACAGCACTCACGAGTATTATGTCACGAGGGTGGCACAAGTGCATTGAATGTCCTCGCGAGGTCAAAAACTTCAATGACATGTGAGCAATTCACCCTCATCGCGAAGTATTGCCTTCGATAAGGTCACAAAGGGTGGCGGCATATTTATTTTATTGATGGACAACGTCCTCAGGATCAAAAACAAGAACCGCCCCGAGAACGAGAGAGACACCTTCATATTTCATGCTCCGCCAAGGGGTTGCTAATATTGGGGATGCAGTGTCAATTCTGGTTCGAGTGCATCGCGATGTATTTATTTCATGTAATTCACGTTTGATTCGTTCCTTTGCAGCTTCAAAATGTATTTATAAATTAATTGTGCACATTTTTAAAGAGTAAAAAGAGAATTTTAATCGTAATCTTTAATCGCATATTTACGGTTTTACGCAAGGTTTAGTGATAAAAACGAGTGAAAACCCCATAAAGTGTTCTCTAGTCGTTCAATATTCGTAAACTTAACCTAAAATTTTCTTTTTCTACCCACAAATTAAATTTTTCTCACAAAATCTTTTAATTTTCTTTTAAAATATTTACAGAAAATAAATCATATTCCAAGTTTTCTTACTAAACTTCTATGTCTCGTTCTTGTAGACTCTTTAAATGAGCTCCAAACTGGTTGAAATTATTCAAAAATGACAAAATTCTCGACTTTGTCATTTTAAGTCTATTTTCTAAGATCTAAACGCAAGATGCTGAAGCATTTACAGTCTATATTAGCAACCCCTTGTGCCTCCGCAGTGTGAGATGAAAAGTGCGAAGAATGAAATCATCTGAAGAGATTGCATGATCTCCACAGTGAAATTTGAGCATACAATATTTATTCGTTTCTCCACGACAAGGCATGGGAATAAATAAAAGGAGCAAAGTACGAGGGACATATACGGAGCATGTAGGGATAAAATTTATTATTTCCGGAAAACATATTTATTGTTTCCCGAAAATAAAATCAACAACGACTGTGCGTGGGCTGAAAGAAGGGGTTAGGCAATCCGAGGGGGTGAATGAGGACAGTGGAGTAAACAAATATTAATTCTTCCCTCCAGTAAGGCTTCTCAGCAAGGTCAGAAGGTCAGCCTTGCGTGTGCTTTAATGCTCACTTTTTTCCCCATCTGTGGAGCTTTCCCATGAAATGCTCTCTCCTTATGGAATAATCGCAATTGCGAATGGATATTTCTGGCGGTGACAGAAAATCCTCCGGAGAGATTTATTAATGAGCTTCGTGTGCCAAGGAGCTCTGGCAGCGTCACAACAAACCTCTTCGGTGGCAACAGAGCAATTTGCGCAATGATAAGCGAGAGAGGAAAAGATAAATAAGGCGAGAAACCTCTTTTCTTTGCACATGAGAGATTATTTGTTTGGACAGTTGGCATGAAATATTGGGTGGAATCAGAAAAATTTGTTTTCCACTCAAATGTATTGCAGCCTTTCCACCCACTCTCTCTCTCCCCTTTGAAATATGCACCCTCCTGGATTTTGGTCAATATTTGCCTATATATAACACTTCTCCACTGTCACAAAACAGGAAATTGTCTGCCAATTTTCTTACACTTTGCCGCAGTTTTTATTAAGTTTCGTATTTCTTAGGGCGACTGAATCTCCCTATCGCTCTTGAATTTGAAGATTCACCGCTTCTTCGGTGTCTCCTTTTGCCCTCAGGAAAGGTGCCAAGAGTCTCTGGTCGTCAACAGTGTTTCCTCCGGTGAACAGACTTGTCAAATATCCAACACTGATGCCCAAAAACGTTCCTATGAATCCGTAATAAATGAAGGGGATTTTAAACAACCAACTTGTGTCTTCCTCTTCATTAAGAATGTCAGGAAAGCTGTTGATTGTTAAGTTGCTGATGCAGTCGTGTGTTTGGAAGGGAAGTGTAGGTTCTGGTTTGCTGTTGATGCTTCCAATTATCAGGATCAGGATGCTCAGAATAGCAGTCAAGGCTCCAACTTGTGCTCCCTAAAAACAGAAACCAAGTGGTAGATATTATGATCGGAAACACACTCAATTGCACAGATTTCTCTAGTAGTCTTACCGTGTTGTTGGCTTTGGGAAAGACAGCGCCAAGAACGAAGAGAGTTAGAAGAGCGGCAGTGTTGAGAGCCATGCATTGATTTGTCATTTGTGAAATCATTCCCATCTTCTCGATGAAGAACACCAAGAGAATCTGGAAGATTCCCAGAATGAGCACGATGATCTTCATTGTTCTGTTGGCAGAGATCTGCTTGATGCTTGAGAAGCGATAGCTTAGGAAGTCTTCGTAGATTACGCCACTCATGGCGTTCAAGTATGACGATGTGGTTGACAGACTGGCCGAAAAGACGCCAGCAATGAAGATTCCGCTGAAGCCAAGAAAGACGTTTGCTCTCTCCTGAATGAAGTGCGGCAGAATCTGATCAACTCTCTGGATGATTCCCGATGTGAAGGGATCGCAAGTCTCGTAGTTGGCATAAATGATGACACCCAGAAACGATGAAGCGCACATAAACAGTCCAAATACGAAAGCAAGCGTCCATGCGGATATTTTCATCTTCTCACCACTTGGCAAGGACAGAAATCTCTGCAAGTTGGTCTGATTGAATCCATATTGGTAAATGCCGAGGAGAGTTTGTGAGAGAAAATATCCGGCCAAGGAACTTCTTGAATTCATGTTTGTATTTGCAATGACAATTCTTCCGCCGCGATTGCCAGCCTTGAAGACATTCTCGAGTCCTCCGGCGGCTTGAATCCCAATCACGCCGACTACAGTGCAGGACACTATCATGATCATCAGTTGCACAACGTCTGTCCACAGCACAGCCCTGAATCCGCCAATTGCCGTGTAAGAAGCGCACAAAAGCGACAAGATCGTGATGGTGACGTAAGTGTTGAGGCCCGTGACTCTCTGGAAAGTCAGGGCAGGAACGTAAACAGTGACTGTGAGGAAGAGTAGTCCAGTGGACAGGAAGATGAGACTGGCTAGAAGTCTCACTCGCCGATTGAATCTCAATTCGAAGTACTTGAAGCTCGATGTGAGTTTCAATTCCTTGAAGATCGGCAGGAAAATGAACGGAACTATCATTGCCATGGCGAATATGACCACAGAATACATCCATATGTGACTTCCGTAAGCGTAGGATTCAGCTGTCAGGCCCACAATTGAGGATCCAGTCACTGATGTGGCAGACAGAGAGCAGATAACCGGAAAGAGGCCCATATTTCTGCCTCCGAGAAGGTAATCATCGATCGTGGTTTGAATCTTGCGAGACTTAATTGCATAATACAGTCCAATTGCCGCGGAAACGAGAAACACAATCACGAAGAAGGAATAATCGAGAACAGTGAATTGAGCTTTATCCACAGAATTCATGATTTTGATTATCACAACACTTCTTAAGCCTTGTCAAGAGGTAACTAAACATCGACATCATTAGCATTGGTGTCATTATTCTGGACTCATTATTGTTGATTTCCCGAAAAACTTTGTAGGCCGTAAAGCCAAGGGAAAGATAATATGGTTAAAATCTTTACACCACTTCCTGACACTTCAGAAGACTTCAGACTTCATGGATTGTTTATGACAAGACTAAAATCCATTAAGAACTGGAATCTAACTAAAATATGACTGAATTATAACTGAAATCTAACCGAAAACTAACTGACTACGTTTTCATAGCATATTTTATGATTTCTTCATTGTAATCTTTGAAATAATTTTTTTTTTATCTTTCTAACTCAAAATCGCAACAGTTTATTAAATAAAATTGAGGTTATGCTTCACTTTAGCAATGTTGCCTAAAAATATGCAATTCTACAAATAAAGTGAAAATATTTTCAATGTAACGGTAAGAATTTCTAGTTTAATGTGTTATTTGGTGTTAAATCAGTTGCATAACCTAGAAAAATATGTCAAAATTATAACTTGGATAAAAATTATCTACAGAAAACCAAAGTTGTGAACCAAATATTGCATAAATTGGTACAATTCCAGTTCCTAAAACTTCTTCTGGTTTGTACACCACTTCTGACCACAATATCTTCTCCTTGCATAAAGCTATAATGACTCTTTTTTGCACAAATGCCCCAGTTAATTTGCTTTGTTAATAAAAAAGCTTCATAACTTCCGACACCTTCAAAAAATAGCAAAACAATCTCACTATTTAGCTCTTGATTTAGCTTTGATGCATGACTCTGAGTGAATTTTCACATGTTAAATCTGGCAATAATTAATACAATCTTGACGTGTAACATATTGTTCAGACTGTATGTTTTAATTAACTGCCTTTTCTACTTCTCCACTTCAGCCCCAAATCCCACCTATTCAATCTCTTCCTTGGGCGAAAGGGATGAGAAAGTGGGGCAGCAGATCGCGAATGCAGGAGCGAAATTCCTTTTGCACAAAAGCCACTCCTTATGATTAATGTGACTCTAATGTGATGCTTTCGTGCATTAATTAATCCTGGAGAAGAAGGACGCGCAGGAGATGAGCGAGAAGCGACCTGAGAGTTTATCATTGTTCCCCAGATATTCTCGAGGATGTCCCCTGAAATCCTGAGAGTAAACATTTTTGGAAGAATTAAAGAATATTAAGGCATTAAGCCGAGGGACTTTGTTGAGCGCTTCAGCGAAAGAGTGAAACTAAGCATAATCCATCTACGAAATTTCACCCCAAACTGCAGATGTACGAATTATCTCCCTCTCGAACTACAAAAATTTTAATCCCTGCAATAATACCAGAGAAATTCAGTCATTGTTCGCCGTTTTACCTGATTGAAATCCTCACTTTGGCGTTGCATTTAATGCAGTCTCGGCTGGGCGTGCAATTAAGTTCCAATTCTCAAATGAACTCTTCAGTGTTTACTCAGGAGGAAGGCTTCATCTCAAGTGCATGCCAAGTTTGGTGAGCCAAAAAAGAGGGAAGACGATCACTTGCTAATTGTCTGGCGGAGGGATTTCGCTGGAAAGGACATCATGAGTCGGGAAAGAAAACAAATATGAATGGGCCTGAATGAGAGACCCTCCACGACAAAGAGGGCCATATTTACTCACACACACTCTTGTTTGCCCACCAGAAATTCCCTACTGTCAAATTATGTGTCTTGGAAAAACACAGAATGTTGACATTGCAGCATTTCGCCCGAAAAGTCGTGCCGTTGTGCTTGAATTTAAATTCAACGTCTGACCTTCAATCCCCCCGTCAGTGTCCTTTGTAGGCTGTGTGTCTCCAAACATCACTCAATCATCAACTGCTGGAATGTTCTTTATCAAGAAATTCTTTTTCACAAAGTTGAGAGGCAATTTCCCGAGTCAGAGGAAAAAAAAAGTGTAATTCCGTCCGTTTGATGTGTGAATTAAGGGTGGGCAAAACTTCGTTTCTCGATGACATTGAAGAAGGCAAAAAGGGCGAGTAATTCCAATATGGGTGGATATTTATAGATGGCAACTGAGAGGGACAAGAAAGTTGATGTTGGGACCAGAGAGACAGATGGAATTTTGGTATTAGGAAAATACTTTTGCCTCCGTGTGTGTGTGAATTTTCCTCCTTTTCTCCGTCGCAGCGCACGGAAAACGGATTTTTGTCATGAGGAAATTCAACCAAGAGAGAAACACGCACGACTCCAATGCACCCCCATCAACATGTCACACACTCTTAAGACTGTCTTATATTGTCACATCCTGACGCTCAAATGCGACATTGAATACCATGTTTACTTGCCGTGGATATTTTCCTCCTCAAACTCTCTTGGCGAGTGAAAATTGCTCGCCAGCAAAGTGGACAAGGCAAAGGAGCCTTTTTCATGCCGTACAAGCAGCAAACATAGCACATTTGACGACTATTTAGTCCCTTTGGATGTTCCCAAAGGGAAAGTCAAGGCAATTTTTCAAGGATCATGATAGTATGGAAAAAATCAAAGAATCTAAATTTGAATGAAATTAATTTGAAAAATTCAATATTTACGACAAAATAATTAATTAAAGTCAAATTATATTTAAATAGTTTCCAAGATAAGTTCAGAAAATTTTTCACAAGTTAGATTATAGTTTTAAGTGCTGTCCTCTGGCGGCAATATAGATTAAATCTTCAGAAAATATAATCAAAAAATTGATACAAAAATAAAATATTTTCTCAAAATTCTTGCATGAAAAATGACTGAAATTGCGAGTGATTTTCTCCTTTTCTATGGCTGCGTTTCCTAAACTTGCACACCTTGCGCGTGTGCCTGCGAATGTCTCCTGAAGCGGACCGCCTAAGACATCTCCAGCCACCATGGTGAGGGCAGAATCTGTCAGAGGAAGCGGACCGAGAATGCTTGTAGTTTGGCGACTATCATGAAATGCCACAAAGTCCAAACCAGAATGAAATAACTTTGTGAGTCGCTATCTTTGTGAAGTGCTCCTCCTGAGGGTGGGAGGCGGAGGGGCGCATTTGGCGGTGACATTTCCACCCCTTCTCAAAATCACATATAAAGCGAGACACAATTCACCCCTTTCTCACTCAGCTGAACTACATTGAATTTCTTGTTTTTCACCGCTGCAGTGCGCATAAAATCTCTCCATCATCAAATGGAGAAAGACTTTTCACTTTAGCCCATTGAGTTGGACTTTGAAAATGGGGAAGAATTTACACCAATTCACATCATCTCACTATGGACAAGAAGAGATTTTCCTTTCGTTTCTCTCATGTGTATTTTTATCTCACCCCAAACGAAAATTGATCGATTTCTCCAGGACTTGAGATTGCCCAGAGAAGGCTTTCTGGCAAAAAGAAGCGGAGAGAGTTTGCGGAAAAAGTTGCAATTCTTTGATATTTCCTCGGCAATTTTCTACACCACGGCGTCTCTGGGCTAAATCCATCCAGACGAGAGACATTTTGCAATTCGAGCATGCGGAGAAGGGGTGGAAATTCAATCGGACTGGCAAAGTTTAAACTTTTGCCCTGGTCCGTGACTCCCTCAGCTTTGCCAGAACTTTCACTTCATTCTTCTGCAATTTTTTCTCTCTCCAATCACTTACAGTTTGAAATATCAATTTGTATCAGTTGCTTTTCTCCGCCACGATTTTCTATCCAATGGTGAATTTTTGGTGAAATTGGATGTCATTTTAGGGGGGTGAAATGTGGAGTTTGATGCATTTTTAAAAACACAAACCGACGGTTGAATTGAAAACTATGAAAAGGAGGTTTTTCATAATTTACGTAGTATATACATTTTCTTCGATTGCTTTTTATCTGTTTACCTACTGAAAAAAAATTGAGATTTGTATCTTATTAAACAACCTAATTTCAGATTTCCAGGATTTTCCTCAAATATTTTTTTTAAAGGACTCAAAATGAGAAAATATGACATATTTATTAATTTCTTCAATGTAGAATTTTTTTAAAAATGCAATGAAAAGTGTTATAAATAATTTTTTACAACATTTCAGGAGAAAATGTAGGCAAAATATATTTAAAATCGACTTTTACGCAATAATTATCATTTTACCAAGCCATTTGCGGATGTTTGAGTTAAAATTCGGCAATTTTCGCAGCGAAATTGACGCTAAAATTTTCAAGTTGCTTTGCTGAAAAATTGCCATTTCGACTTTTCATAATATTCAAAACGGAGTCGTCGAAACAGAAATTCTGCACAAAGATGTTTGCACGACGAAAAAAAGGGGGAAAATAAGTGTGTTAAGGAACACTTAACTTGCACAGATTTGAGGCATTGCCAGTCATAAATCCTCATCTCTCAACTCACGAGCAATTTCGGTAATTGAGGGCGTTTAATATTGCACTTTTTGCATGCAAATTGAAAATTAACCATGTCCATTTCTGCACGGACTGTTCATCATTCTTCGCGCATTTGGAATGCATCGAATTTCTCCTCCACTGAGTGTTTGTGTTTCATTTCAACTCTGTGATTGATGGTGATTTAAAAAGCCCACCAAATTCTGTACACAAACAATAAATCACCCCAATGTAAGTGGTGGAGCATTTAATGAGAAATCACAGCTCGGAAAAAAGTGATTTTTTTTTCCTCTTGGCCTTTTAAATAAATAAATCGCGAGCATTCAGTGGAGAAAATACAAACAAATTGGATAATTAAGGGCGGGAGATTTATTGTTTTATTATTTCGAGGGCCTCCAGGCTTTGCTGGGGTTGTACATGTTTTGGCGTGAAAGTTTTCCCCGTCGAGATTCGTGGGGGGTCGTCGTGTGGCTGGGCCGCCTTACCTGAGTCCGCTCGTGAGTCCTGGCCCAGGACACACACACACACACAAGACCTCCTCGAGGGTGAGAAGGTGCGAAGCGTTTAATGAGATTCGACACGGAACAACTTTTCGGCATTTTGTCGCACTTCATCTAATTGTCCTGCAGAGAATTCTCCTC